TATGTAGTCCGCGGAACTTGCCAAGGTCGTGCAGCTGGGTGTAGGGGGAGAGCTTTGCCTAGAATGTTTTGGGTATCTTGCATGTGAACTGAACCTGTGTTGACATTTCAGAACGGTTGCGTTCCCATGCAATGGGCGCGAACTGTATGGTCTATTCCCGCCAGTGGGAACTGGACCCATTGGTCCTTCCCTGGTTCAAATGTCTTTATTATGCCTTCCCTGGTTACCTGTAGTTATTCCTAACAATGTCCTGTTCTGGTTAAACCAACGCTTTGAAATAAACCTTACTTGCTTTGCAACGTGGAGTTGCAAAGCAAGTAAGGTTGGGATTAATGCTTGGGATTCAACACCCCCTAACCACGGGACCGCGACGGGACGTGTGATGGGGCGGCCGCGCGTTATTTTGCTCCGGGGCAAACAGCCACCCTCCCCCCCCCCCGCATTTTTCAGCCCGTGTGACCGGGACCACGATGAATGATAAACGCCATAATATTGTTAATGACAATTAGTCTATTAGATTGTAAATTTCAGCTTTGATAGAATGTGCCCTCCATTTTTAAACTTTGGCTTCGGCTGGTGGGTAAATTGTTCCTTGTTTCAGCTTAGCTTTTATCAGAACCACAATTTCCTCATGCAACAATAGCTTATTCCCAAGGCACAATGATACCTGAAAATTGAAATGCTTCCTTTACAAACATGAACTTTACGCAGTATCAGACATAATTAAAACTCTAATGGTAGAAAATACTCACCAAATCCAATCCTATATATATAAAAGCCCAGCATATTGGCACTTTCCGGCTCTCCCATTGGCTGTGCTGTGCGCTCCATCAGCCATTGGCTAGTCAACCACCACTTAAGAGTACTCGTGTGCCATTGGCTGGGTGCTCTACCCCACCCACTGCTGACCTGGCTATTGCATGACTAAATAAACTGCCAAAACTGCTCTGTGGCTTTCCCCTCATTGGCTGTTGCTAGGCAACTAAGCTTAGTTCTGTCAGTAAAAAGACAGGGATAGGAGGCTTTTTCCAGGCCTACTTTAGCCTTTGTGGGGAACTCATTGAGGCCAGTCTTGACTAGGGTGGTCAGTTCCAGGTTGGGAAATTCCTGGAGATTTTGTGATGGAGTCTACAGAAGCCAGAGTTTGCAGAGGGGAGAGACCTCTGCTGAATAGAATGCCATAGAGTCCACCCTCCAAAGCAGTTATTTTTTTTCCAGGGGGAGACCTAGGTTCTTGCTGTGGAAGCTGAGTGGGTGATTTTGGACCAGTCACAGACTTTCAGCCTAACCTCCCTCACAGGGCTGTTGTGCAGATCAAAAGGGGAAGAGGAGAATGATGTAAGCTGCTTTGGTGCCCACTGTGGAGAAAGACTGTACTTTTCCTACTGGGAAACCATTGTTGCCAATCTCCAGGTGAGGGCTGGAGATCACTCAGAATTACAACTGCTTTTTATAATGAGCTACCATAGGTGCCTCCAGGACAGTTTCTAATCCTAGACATATGCTCTAATACAGGTAGTTTAATAAACATAAAATAGCACATATAGTACATTTTGTATTGCAGTTGGAGAAATGTGGAATCTTAATTATTTTAGAATTCACAGGATATTGAAATTCCTTTATTTCTAAGGCCAATGGACACACTAAACACCTCCCACATTTGAATGCCCTCTCACATTCATCGTGAATTGAAAGTCTTGTCTAAAACCAGAGTGGATTATTATATCTAGAATGTTCTTAGTTCTCCTGAACCTGATCTGTAGGCTGTTTTCACATCCAGGTATGGACGAAACCAAAAAGCAGTACTTATTGATAAGTATAAGATCCTATTACCACTTTGGCTAGTTTTTTCTTTATCTTCCTCAAGTAAACTATTGACGTCTATTGACAGATAAGGCTCTATTTTTAGCATTCAGCACCACCCGTTTCATCCATTCCCATCAGCCAAAGTCGAAGTTTAAAAACGGAGGGCACATTCTATTGAAGTTGAAATGTACAATCTAATAGGCTAATTAACAATAACAATATTGTGGACTTTATAATTCACTGTGTTTGGAGATTGTAAGATTGAATGTAAGAGTACTATATATGCTTTGTAAAAGGTGTTCTTAAAATTATTTTGTATTTTTCACAACAGATCATATAAAACATTGTTTATGCATTGATTCTAAATAGCCTGATTTCAGTGTTTTGTTTGAATTGTATCTACCACACTGTATGTCCCTCTTGTTAATTAATAAAAAAGAAAAAGCACCACCAAACTTAATGGACTCAACAGTCCACTCGAGTAATTCCATTACCTGAGACCGTCGTTGTATATCTCTGCCGCACTGACTGTGATTTTATAGTCCCAGGCTGAAGCTTTTGCTTGCACTTCTGAGAAGAGAAGTTGTAGAGCCCGCTGATTGATTCCTGGGTTCTCAGGAATTCCCTAGTGAGGGAGATGATAAACAGAGCACAGAGATGAAGATATGCCACAAAGCATAAGGCTCGTGTGATGATGCCGGGAAACAGAAATGTCAGGCTCCTTATGGATTCAGCTATCCACCAGCTATGCTGGACCAGACCAAAGATCAGCCAACATTCTGCTTCTGGCAGTGGCCAGCAAGATTCTTCCAAGGTGCTTGTTAGCAAAACATGAAGACCACTGCCCTCCACTTCTGCCTGTACCCAGCATCTGATAAAAAAGTATAGAGGATTGAAAGCTTCTTCCATGTCCTTATCAACGGGCAGCAGAGAAGAATGATGTCTCATTGTTTTTAAAATCCATTTTAAAAGCTGGTGGTCGCTAACTCAATAATACAGCATTTCTTATGAGTGTCTCCAATCCACTATGGTCCCTCAGACCCAATGTGAGAAACCTGAGCCGAAGCCAACAGGTCTGGCCATACACAGCCGACAATTGGCAGAAACAACAGTTTTGTTAACTTGCTGCAGTTTCTGGCTGCTGGTAAGGCAGCTGAAACAGTCCAAAAGGTCTTTCTGACAACTCCGAGTGTCTTTTGCTCTTTGTGCGAATTGGTGCCTTTGCATGAGGGCTCCAGATGAAGCAACCAGAATCATAGTGGCTCAACCAAAAATTCTACCTTTGAGCTGGAAAATTTCAACACAGCACCTGCGGTTCTCAGAAATAGAGATCACCAGGTGTGGTTTATATGAAAGGTTTTGGCTAAAAATCACCCCAAGATATTTAAAGGTTCTACATTGTTCAATGGAATTGCTATCTATTGACTACTTAAATCTTCCAAGATATCTTCCTAAAGACACCTGGTCTTGGTAAAATCAATATTTAAAGCCTCAACCTTACAAAAACTATGCGATTTATGAAACATCCATTTTAAGCCAATGCACGTTAAGGACACCAGAACCATGTCGTCTGCGTATAAAAGGATCAATACTTCCCAACTTCCCAATGATGAAGGATAGAATTCAGGGCCTGATAAACTTGGAACAATACCATTTAAATACAAGAGCGATGGGGCCAAAAGACACCCATATGATCCTCTGAGTAAGCAGAATCTCCTCAGAGAGCCTGACAAGCCCACCTGAATTCTGGCAAATATATCAGAATGAAATTTCTATAACAGAGATGACAAATGTTCATCCATGTTTCTGCCTGCTAATTTTGCCCACAGTCAATTACAATCATAGAATCATAGAATTGGAAGGGACCTTGCAGGTCATCTACATCCTTCCTAAAGTGTGGTGGCCAAAACTGGACACAGTACTCCAGGTGAGGCCTGAGTCAAAGGCAGCACTTAATCATCTAATGGGATCACGGGTCTGTAATATGGCTTTGGAAACAGCATGACCTCTTGACAAGAACATACTCTCCAAAAGACAGATCAAGATGGGTAGCTGTGCTAGTCTGTCTGTAGCAGTAGAAAAGAGCAAGAGTCCAGTAGCACCTTAAAGACTAACAAAATTTGTGGCAGGGCTCACAAAAGCTCATACCCTGCCATAAACAACAAACAACAAATGTATAGATAAAATATATAAAACAACATAATATACTAAAAGTTTCACAATCATAAAATAAATTTCAATGTTAAAATACAAAGTCGTAATTCTCATAAATAGCAAAATTAGGGAGATCCCTCAACATCAGGGGTGGCCAAACTTACTTAACGTAAGAGCCACGTAGAACAAACACCAGATGTTTGAGAGCTGCAAAGACATGAGCAAATATTACACACATGTGTTTATTGGAAAATATGCAAATTTAGTAACCTTATATGTTATCTCCTGGTTCTTGTCAGAGAGCATTATGGAAAGAAGTATGGCTCTATGCCTCCCTGGGTAAACTAGAAATATGGGCATTATGTAAACTTCACATATCTGATTATACATCTTACTAGCAGTAAAGCCTGTTGTGAAAGCTATACAACGGGATCTAGAAAGAGGCTCTGGGGGAGTGCTCTGGCTTTGGGCAAACAGTGTCAATTTCCTGTGGTGACCTCAGCAGGGTATAATGACAGAGTCCACTGTTTTCTCCAAAGAAACTGATCTCTGCTACCTGAAGAGCAGTTGTAATTGTGAGTGATCTGTAGCCCTCACCTGGTTTGGAGGGTGTAGTCTATGGCATTCTACCTGTCTGAGGTCCCACCCCTCTGCAAACCCCACCCTCTCCAGGCTCCACCCCTCAAATCCCCAGGAATTTGTTAGCATGTAGTTGGCAACCCCATCTCCTTCCCAGCTAACCATCAACCTACCATTATCTGCCCCTTTGACTTCAGCTGACTTCTGCCCTCCTTTCTGCAGAGCAGTTGTAATTCTGAGTGCTCTCCAGCCCTCACCTGGAGATTGGCAACAATGGTTCCCTATGTGGGACTGACTGGTTTGGAGGGTGGAGTCTATGGCAGTGTACCTGTCTGTGGTCCCACCCCTCCTCAAACCTCACCCTCTTCAGGCTCCATCCCTCAAATCTCCAGGAATTTCCCATCGGGAGTTGGCAACCATATCAGGACTGGCCCCAATGTGTTTTCTCCCAAAGGCCAAAGTAGGTGACAGGACCAAGCTTAGTTGCCTACCAACAGGCACTGAGGGGAATGTAGGGTTGCCAGCTCTAAGGAGGGAAATACCTGGAGTTTTGGGGGGTGGATTCTGTAGAGGGCAACATTGGGCGGGGGGGCGGCGGAAGGACTCAGCAGGTATAATGTCATAGGGTCTACCCTCCAAAGCAGCCATTTTCTCCAGGGGAAACTGATCTCTGTCATCTGGAAATCAATTGTAGCAGTGGGAGATCTCCAGGTCCCACCTGGAGTTTGGCAACCCTAGGGGAAAGTGTGCTGCCCAGCAGGGGGTTGAAGAGAATGGTTTGATGGGTGCTGGGCCAAGATTGGCAACAATAGTTCCCCAGGAGCAAATAGCTGGGTTGGAGGGTGGAGTCTATGGCACTGTAACCTGTCTGAGGTCCCCATCTCCCCAGGCAGCTTTTAAAACATGATCCTGGGACCTACACACCACCAGACATTCCAACTGCCTTGCGGGGGGGGGGAGTATGAGGTGTGGAATGGAATGAAGTCCAATCAGCTTCCATATGCAAAAGACCTTGAAGGTTCCATATGCAACTGACATTCCAACTGCCTTGCGGGGAGGGGGGTGAGTTTGAGGTGTGGAATGCAGTGAAGTCCAATCAGCTTCCATATGCAAAAGACCTTGAAACACTGGGCGGGACTGCACAAAGCAGCCAGTCAACCCATCCAGTGTCTTCTGACTGACAGTTCAAGCGTCCATACACTAAAGGAGTGCATTTTAGAACTTTGGCACCCACTACTCAATTATATATAAGGAGAGATACAGTTGAAGATAACATGCCCTAATGTTTCTATTTTCCCATCACCCCAGTGGTAGAGTCGTTCTTCTAATGGAATTTTTTTGTATCTTTCTTCAAGGAGAACTGAGAGCCTGAGCAGTCAATTATTAATGGGGTTGAAGCTGAAGGAGGGTAGAGATAAGAAATAGAGAAAACTTGCCCTAATTGGGGACAGCTGGGAAAACTGACTGTGGAACAACTGCTTTCCCTTGGAAATGCATACCAGAAAACAACCACGTGACTTAGAAGACATAACCCCAGCTCCAGCTCAAAAACAGACAAAAATAGGACAATATTTTGTGTCTAGTAATCCCTCATTATTTTCCATGCTGCTCTCTAATTATTATGCTCCGCTGGTTGATAACATCAACATTGATGAGGAGACTGAGGGCCTGGAGGAGGTGGGAGAGATTCTCAGTCACTCCCTGCAGGGTCTATTTAATACCAATGAAAATGCTGAACTGGCTGAAAATCACTTGGAGCAAATACACAAACAGCTAAAATGGTGGCAGTCATCTTTGATAAATTGGAAAAGATTAAGAAACGACAATCTCATGCAGATGTTCTCAAGGCCAAACAATGAGGGCCAGCCCAACATAGAATTAAACGGACTTTCTTGCGACCAGACACTACAAAGTCTTTTCCGGTACTGCAAGAAAGAGTGTTGCAGAAGACAAGCAATCCCGAAAGCAGCGGACTATTCAATTAGTACTACAATCAAACAAGATACACCTACTAATTTGTCATTATAGAGGGCAGATCCCAAGATGGAGTTCTAAGTGAATGGTTGTAAATCAATAGATCTCTCCTTGGTTGAAGTTCTCAATAGTTTGAACCAATCACAGACAGTTATGCCCACCTTTGAGAGCCCTAGATTCCCAACAGTGATTTTATCACTGAAAATTGGTGTAAGGCAAAAGGGGATCTTTCCCTGACATAATTTTTTGTTAGTCTTTAAGGACTCTTGCTCTTTTCTACTGATATCCTCCAAAAGTTATTTTTTCCTACTGCAGTCTCAAGACTCAACTTAAACTCAATTCAAATGTCACAGCAAACCTCTATTGTTATCAGCTTTAATATATATTATTTTCTATACTTGCATACTTCTTCGCCCTAGTCACATGCAGAATACTATTGAAAACCTCTTGGTTTGGGAAGTCTTCAAAGTCTAGTTTGTTAAGATGTCCAAATTTAACTACTTGGGTAAACTGGAGCTTGTTTTCTTTTCAGAGGCCAGGGAACCCAGTTTAAATTTCTGGTTAGTGGGAAGGAAACAACATACAGCTTGTCCAGGCACATATATTCAGATATCATGGGAAACCAGACTCAGAAGGCTTCCCAAACCAGGAAGCATTCAGATGCTCTTAACCTGTGATGGGAGGGAGGGAGGAAGGAGCATATGAATATAATGTTGTATCATGAAATTGGGCCAAGGCTAATATTACTTAGATTTATAAGAAAAAAAAAGATCCAGGTGATGTCACCTCTTAAAGACTCATACCTTTGCTTAACAGATTAAAAATATGGGTATAAGCCTTAGCCAAATGTCTTTATCTGGTCCTGAATCAGTATATTGGTTCAGGGAAAATGGGGTTTTAAAAAGGCTGGTTAGGAGA